TCTTGACAATTATACACGCTGCAATAGGCAACCAATGTTAAATTTCTGCAATTTCGTCCCTACATCTCCGGATGTGATCAAGTTGACAGCCGGCAACGCCTCAGACAAGGGAGAAAACCCGTTTGGGTTAGTCTATTTCTTATAGGGTCCATGCATGTAAGCACAACGGAGTAACTCTCGAACCTTATAAGCTTATAGGTAATTGTAATAAGGAATTGAGAAGTCTAGCTGCGACATTTTTTTTACTCACCATCCCTTTTCCTTAAGTAATGACTTATAAATTGAACATTTGACAGTAATAAACTGTTCACATCAGACCTCCTCTTACTCTGTCCGACTGTTATGTCATGCGCCTCTTGGACAGACTTGTCATCAAGCCGGCAACATCGCACATATTAGCAATAGCCCGGCAATACATGTATAGATTGATTGATTGAATAAACTGTTATATGATGTTAATTAGGAATAAAAAGCAACATTTTTTCTGGTTTTCATAAAGAATATAGCTTGATTTTTCGAAATGTTCATTTTATCCGTTACGTTATTTCGCAGGAAGAAACTATGCCATCAAACTCTGGCTGCATCTATGTACTATTATTTCTAATCCCGCGTCGTGGTTAGAAATAATAGTAGGTGCTATAGCTATCATAATAGCTATTTCTAAGTTTTGAATTTTTAGCGAAATTTGATACTATATTTTCTTAATATACCTTTCTTCTTCTACATTTTTTAAGTAGTGTTTTTTGGTGAAAATTATGCTCTATTTTTCAGTATATAAACTGTTATTAAAATTGTATTAGAAATGCAAACTTTCTCCATGTTAACTAACGATTCATAAATATACGCTCAGTACAACACTAAAAATGTATGCAGCAATTATAGAAGTTGAGCATTTTCAGGAGACAAATCCTAAATTATATGATTACTGAGATTTCTTTAACCAAGCTTGAATTTCAGATAACATTTTTATAAATTATTAGATTTGCATAGCTTGTACTTTGTTTGGTTATTAATATCCTTTTTGTATGTTACGATGATGTCCAATACAAATTAGAAATTTAAAAATTAAAAATATTGTGTTTTGGTATCACAATACTTACTATTCTGATCAATGAGAATTAAAGTATTGTGACTTACAGAATTCTTACAGTTGTGTAAGTCAATATTTACGATTCTGATCTACAAATGAATTACAGATATAAGAAAATAAGACGAGAAATTTATGTAAAATTTGCATACTCATAATTTAAAATCTATAAGGTATTTTATCCCTTCCTTCCACATGCCTCTGTAGCATAACTGGAAGCTCACTCGAAGCATTTTCGGGAGGTCCAGAGTTCAAAGCAATTTTATGCTAAATATTAAAAAATTGTATCAATACCAAGCGTAGCCATGACCTTATAAGGTATTTCTCCCTCCTTTTTAGCAAGCCGTCGTGGTGTAATGGTTTACACGCTCAGCGCGTACTTCAGAAGTCCGCGGTTCAATTCCCGGCCAAGGCGTTGCTAATATTTCATCTTGCCTACTTTCAAAAACATCTAATGTCCCTACCATGGAGGTACGAAGTAAGATGGAGTCGCCTAAACAGGTTTCTCCCGTACCCTGCTCTGAAGCACCGGCGATCTCTACGTGGTGACCAAAACATTGGGTCATTTACCATTGAGTTCTATGGGATTTGACGCGTTCGGATGTAAATATTTTGTAATTACGTCGTAAATATACATATAAATGTATATATTTTCTTTTTCTACAACACTTCAGAGTCCTAAGTATGTGAAAACAACATATTTTTAAACAACATTTCATTCTGAACGGAATTAAATGCTATACTTTTCACAGGACAGTTTTCTCAGAATGGTTTAATTTGAATGAAATATTTTCACAAGTTTTCGTTAATTACATTAGAAAAAAAAAAATTAAGGTAATTCGATTTTATTCGGTTAAGGTACAAAAATTAAGATCAAAGTTTATTGTATTATTAATATTAAAATTATGCATTATTTCTTTCTATTTATAGAGCTTCTTCCTAAAATACTTTCTTAAATATGACATGATTTTTTGGCTTCTGAAGCATCTTTTAAATCGAAAAATGTAAGTCAATTTATAATTAATGCTCTATTCTGTTCATTTTAAATTAGAGAATTATTAGGAATTAGCGAAATACTTTAAATAAGTATTTCGCTAATTCCTAATAATTAAATAGGTATTAAATAGTACTTGACTTTCTCTGAACATTTCTGAAAGGGAATAAAATAAGTTTTTTTTTTTTTTTTTTTTTTTTTTTTTTTTTTTTAAAGTATTATTTAAAACTTGTAACTGAGTTATTATAAAATGTAAGGGGAATAATTCTTTTAATTATACTTATCAGATTTTTTTTTTTACCCTTCATTTCAACAATACATATTCCAAAACTCTTTTATTACGTTCTTAAGTGCGCATCTCATAGCATTTGCTTTACAATACCTTTTAACAGATTGCTTTCCAATACGAACAATTCTTGCTTAAATAGTTTTATAACGTATTTGTTCAACAGGATTTCAATTTATGTTTACAATTCAATATTAAGGTTATTATATATTTAGATAACATTTATAATCATTATAAATTAGATACATTTAATAATTAGATTTCTTTGTGAAGAAATACTTTCACAGTTGTTTATAAGTGAATAAATTCTTCATTTCAAATACATTTATAAATAATTTAATGAATATTTAAGTATTTTGTCAAAGGCAGATACATGCTTTTTGCAAGCACATGCATAAATACCCATACATATTTCCTATTTATCATTTCCGGCATGTGCAAATCTTTAATTTCTGTGCATTCACTATATTTTTCGTGTAAAGTAATTAACACTAATTTAGCATACACCCGAAAGTTTTACATAAAAAATATATATGAATATAATTTGAATGAAAATTATAAGTATTATTTTTAATACCCACTCAAAGGTCAGTTTTTCTTCAAAATTCTTCCACGATGGCATCTCTCTCTTTAGGCAGATAGCCCTTGCATGCGTTACTCTATTTAATCTGACCTATGTGCCTAATTACAAATATTTTAACGTACATAATTTTATATTTATAAAACGTGTAAGCCCAAAGTGATTATTTTTTCAGATATATAAAATTAAAACGATGGGTTTAAAATGAAACAACAGTAAAGCCTCTCCTCTAAAAATTTTTAAAAGGTACACGTTACAATAATATATGGATGATCAAAAAAATTTATTTTATTTAAAACATTTTGAAGTTTGGAAAATCAAAATAAAAGTAGCGAATACTCTATCAAGGGTATCGAAAGACGTATACAATTTTAAATGTACCGTAAAGTATTTTTCATTCTTTAAGCATAACATTTTTCTTAAAATCTATATTTTTGTAGTGCAACAGCTTAGAATTTTATAAAACAAATTCATAATCAAAATCGCTGTTGTTAGTTATCGAAAAATAAACAAGATGTGATTTTTGCGTAAATGTCAGTAAACTATACAAATTGCTATTATCCATCCCACTATGAATGTTTCTTTCATGCGAAAGTGTCCCTTTTTCGATTTCTATGGAACTGCCGTGTGTCGAAATACTATCAGAATCTTGTCAAGCGAGCTTCTGAATGTAAACAAAGAACAGCCCATCTGGTGACCCAAGCCTCAAAGCAGTGCTTCACTTTTAGCGCGGGTTGGCCCCTCCTCCCTTTCCTACCTCCATGGACCCTACAGTGGCGTCCGACATAAAAGGGTGTTGGATGATGATTCTCCTCACCCAGGATTTGGCGATTATGTCCCCTAAGAAAACCCCAATCGAGCTTTAAAAGAGGGAGTATATAAGGTATTTCTCCTGCCTTCTTAACGAGCTTTCGTGGTGTAGTGGTCTGCACGCTCAGTGCGTATTTGAGAGGTCCGCGGTTCGATTCCCGGAGAAGGCGTTGCTAATATTTCATCTTGCCTGTTCCAAAAATACCTAATGTCTCTACAACCTTAATGTATTTACTTCCGCCTTTGTGGAGTAATAAGCACACTAGGCGGGTATTCGAGATGTCCAGGTTCGAGTCCCGGCGAGGGTATTGCTCATTTTTCATGTTTCCTGCTTACCCCCCCAAAAAAACCTAATTTCTCTATAGTGGCGCCCGAACTAAAAGGTGGTGGATGATAATTCTTCACCACCAGGATTTGGCGATTGGGTTCCCTAATCCCCAGTCGCCCTTTAAAAGAAATAAGGTATTTTCTCCCTGCTTTCTGCATGCCTTTGTGGTGTAATGGTTAGCACACTCGGCGCGAATTCGAGAGGTGCAGGCTGGAGTTTCGGCGAGGGCATTGCTCATTTTTCATGTTTCCTGCTTAAAATTTCCTATGACTAAACCTTAATTAAAATCAAACTTTTGGGGAATTAGAATCTGGGATATTGTTTCTACAAACTACTTTATATACGCAGTTTAAGATGATAATAATAATAAAGCATTAAACATAAATCTAATAAACAATTTGTTTTAAAACTTTCATTCGTATTGTTAGTCTAATTGTTATCTTTAAGTTATTTACGGGCAGTTATTTGTACTATGATTATGCTGTATGTTGTACATTATAGAGAAAAATATAAGAGTGGATCAAAGAAGAAAACATTTCTTTTAAAAGGTTCCGTGAAAGAAATTAAATTTATTACTACAGCAGCGTCACAGCCTATTACAGCGACATTTCTGTACCGACTACGATAAACAGCATTCCGTATTTCTTCTGATTTTGGAATCATCATGTGTTTTGCTGAAGTATAATAGTTACAAGAATTTTTAATTGCAGTTTATTTTTAAATGCATATTTGAACATTGTTGCAAACTTATCAAATCGCGCCAGTTACATATCTCGAAATGACAAGAAAGTTCTGGATATTACATATGATTAGAAAATTGTGCTGTTGAATTTTGAACAAGTAAAACGCTGGTTCAATAATAAAAGAACACATGCACAAGAAATTGAATGCCAGGAAAAAAAAAAAAAAGCATACCTGGCAATACTTCTGTTTGTAGAAAAAGTTCGTCAGAAAGCGCAGCGCATGCGTCCTGGTATTCTTGAATTGTGATGGGCAGTTGCAGTTCTTCGATCATCGTCCTAGCGGCATCGTCTGCCACTTTGCCCATGCATTTGACTTTGACATCCCAAGTGAAGGTCTTCCCGTACCGGTTAGCAATGGCTTCTCCGATGTTCGTGTACAGTTTTTCCGTGTCTAGAAAAGAGAGAAACTGTACGAAAATGACGGCTGAAATATCTCTCAGTGCAAAATATTTACCGTACCTTATCGTGTATAACGCCCCTAAAAAGCGATATGGCAAACAGGGGGGAAATATGTGTGTGTGGGGGGAAACGCTTGAGAAAGTAAATAATCCTGAAAAAAGGGTGCATTGTATTCAATGTAAATATGCACAAGAAAGTTATTCAAGGGTTTCCAGATATAGGGGATATTATTTGAAGTATTCCGACCCAAATGGATTCATGGAATTAGGAGTTAGATTCTGTCTTTTTTGCAGTTATTTCAAGACGTGGTTTTGAAGTGAGCATCGAATTCAATGAAGAAAAAAAGAGGCCGAATGCGTCATTAATTAAATTAAACCCAATATAATTCAAAAGTCATTAAAAATGTTCTGTATCTAATAATCTAGATCTTTTTTGTTTGTTTGTTTTTTGTTTATGTTATTATGGCAAAGCCTCGAGGGCTATCTGCATAAAGCGGAATGCCTTCACGGAGGAGTTTCTAAGAAAAACTGGCTCACATACACGTTACACACGGGGAAAACTACGAAAATGCCCATGCAGCCAGCTCGTTCACGGGATTTCAAACTCGTACCGTTTTTAATTTTACGTTATTTGAACACAAAATTAAGTTCATAAATTTTGTGCCTAGAGTTTTTACGTTTTACCAAAGTAAATATTTGTTCAACAATTACGCGTGAAAAAAATGCGGGAAATGCAGTAAAAAGTGCTTTAATGAGATATATTAAATCCTATTTGGAAAAATCTGTGGCTTTCATAATCTCATTACTATACAACGTATCACATTTATAATTAAAACAAGGAGGTTAGAACTCATGGAGATGCCCTCCACGCAGTCCAGTGAAGCCAAAAAAGGGGAAAAGCATGCCCTTAGTAGTCGTCGCTTAGAAAGATTGACCTGCTCCATGGAGGTAGGAAGTACCTACCTCCATGACCTGCTCTAACCACACCCAGTTTTGTTCCTGGTAATCGTAAAGGATCGCAGATTCTTCACGTACTCTTTCCTTTACTTTTCTCGCCATTTCATTTTCTTTCTACATTATGTTATTGCTATAATTTCTACTTTATGTAATTGCAATAATTTCTACATTATGTAATTGCATTATGTAATTAATGAATGCTAGCATTAAAAGTATTGTGAACACAGAACAGTAACTATGTACTCAAACTATAATTTGATTAGAATTTACTTATTCTAAGTATATATAATTCTCAAATTTTTCATGTTATCAATATCACTTATGTTTCGAAAAAACTTAATTTGAATAAACAATGATAGAAATATGTAAATTTTACGTTGTTATTTTAAAACTCACACAACAAATGTGACTAAAAATCAAATCCAGTTATTATATATTTACTTGAGCATAAAATAAAATGTAGTTAAACACATAAAAGGTAAGACCCGTAGTGTAATTATGATCAGACATTAAACTGTTTTCTTTTCCATGGAGAGCTAGCCACTCACCTCCCTTATTTACTTATCGTTTTGCCATCACATTTAAGTTAATTACTAATATCACTTTGATTATTATTATGAAAAGGTAAATCTGAGAACTATATATGTTTCTTCGTGTACTTTACACAAAGAAAATACTCAAACTCTTTCTTGAAGGCCATTGAAACACACATTTCAATTATTCTACTTGTTTATGCACGTTCTAAAACATTCTTTTACATGGACATGAAATCGGAAATGTAGATTCACTGTAACAATTCAGTGCCTTTTAGGCCTTTCACATCTACGCATACAAAATCTGAAAACACACTGAGAACTTGAAACCAGCTGGCGTTTTACCTCTTCTCTTAGTAAGGTAATCGTTTGCTTGCCCTCTGTAAGAAATTTTATGTGGAAATATATTTTAATCGCCAAAGAGGGCGTAAATCTTTCATGATGTATATATACTTCTTGTTCTTGGATCTGGCACCGCCAGTTGAATGTGTGTTAGACGTGAATAAACATGGGAGTTTAGAAACCTGATTTGTAATGTTCATGTATCTTGATGTTATGTGTGATTCGAATTAGTGTCATGAGACAAAAGTCATGAGACAAGTTATTTCTAAAATAATAAATGTTGTAGAACCTGAAATTAAAAAAGACATTTTGGATAAGAATATGGTAGAAAATGTGTTTTTACTTACTTCTAAACAGTCTGCGTTAAAAGAAATTAATGAAAAAATATTGGATTGTTTTAAAAGGGATGAGTCTGAAATTGAGAAAGAATGTAATACTGTGTTAGAGTATGATGAAAAAATAAGTTTATGTATTTTTAGGGCTAAAAAGAAACTTAATTTAAATTCTCCAGATAGTGGACATTGAAAATGAATCGCCTGGTAACCATACTGCTGCCGTAAAGGTCGAAAACAAAAACTAGCATTCGATTACCTAACAATTTCAATTCCTAAATATTATGGTGATCCTAGTTTATTTTTGGAATTTTATAAATTCCTTTTGAAAATGCTATTGGTAATAATAATGCTGCGAGTTAAGGATTTAGGATAGGTCGAGAAGTTTACCTTAAATCTTAGGTCCTTTTTACTCGCAGGACTGCTTTCAGTGCAGTATCTGGGTTTGCACTGTCTAATGAAAATTATGACGCTTCTATAAGTTTAATTAAAGAAAGATTTGGACGAACAGATTTGGTAATATCTTCGCACATGAATAAACTCTTGAATCTTGAACCGGTTAGAAGTTCGTCCAATGTGAAAGCACTAAGAACACTACTAGCGTCTACATCCCAAAACGGCAGCCTATGAGAGAGGCGATTCTATTATTTTCATCGGGGAGTAGGGGAGTTAGAATGGTTTTCTGAGGAATGCAACGGCAGTGGACTATATGTTTGCTTACATTTGGAAGCTTCAAAAAATTGCTAAGGTGGATTGTCCTTAGTTTCTACGGTTACTTACAGGAAATATTAGGCATTTTTTTCGGTTTGCTGATAGAGGGTAAGTAGAAAATTTTCCTTTATAATCCGCGTTTATCTATTTAAACTTCAGAAGATTTAAGATGAAGAGAATATATTTAATACAACAGAACGCAATCGTTAAGACTTGTAAATCTTTTAAAAGACAACAGCAAATTTTTAAACATTACTGTAAAAAAATATCATCTCTTTTAATTATAATAATAATGAGATAATGCATGGATGAGTTGTTAATTATATGATAACTATGCATTTATAAAAAAGTTTTTAGTGATGAACTATAAATAATATTTTTAATTATCGATGTATTGTTTTTTTAAAAGATTTACAAGTCTTAAGCTTGGTTCTGTTGTGTTAAATATATTCACTTCATCTTAAATCTTCTGAAGTTTAAATAGATAAACGCGGATTTATAAAGGTAAATTATCTATTTGCCATCTATCAGCAAACCAAAAAAACTGCCTAATATTTCCCTGAAAGTAACCGCAGAAACTAAGGCAATCCACCTTTGCAATTTTCTGAACTTCCTAATGTAAGCAAACATCGCGCACTGCCGCTGGCGTTCCTCAGAAAACCATTCTAAATTCCCTACTCCCCGATGAAAATAATAGAATCGCCTCTCTCATAGGCTGCCGTTTTGGGATGTAGACGCTAGTAAGAACACTATACAATTTCTATGAAATCAATATAAGAAGCTTAAATTCATTGGGTATTGTGTCGGAAGCTTACGGAACCCTTTTAGGACATGTTATTTTAAAACTTTTACCAGACGATATGAATCTGGAGTTGAATAGAAAAAGAAACTCTAAACAGCAATATAGCCTAACAGAACTTCTCGAATTCATTAGATTGGAAGTTGAGAGTCGGGAAGCTTCTAATTGAATAATAAACTCAAAGAAAAGAGACACAAATTACGGTGTTAAGCAGAATAAAAATAATTACTTAAAAGGGGCAAGCGTTCCTACTGCTTCGGCGTTAGCTACAGTGACTATTGTAATCAAAATATTGTTTCTATTGTATTGTTTCTATTGTAATCAAAATACACATGATGTAGGAAAATGTGAGAAAACAAATGAGCAAAAAAGAGCGATATTAAAATACCACGGACGTTGTTACGAATGTTGTAAGAGAGGTCATGTAGCTTCCAGATGTAAAATGAAACTTCAACCTTGTGAGTTGTGTAATGGTTTAAATCATAATAAGCTATTTTGTAAAAATATTCTTCCTAAAGTGGAAGCAGTTTCAGATGTTAAACAGAAAGTAGTTACAGTATCAGATTAAGCAGAATGTAGTTGCATCCCTGTCGTTTAACTCTGAGACTGTTTCTGAAAATGCTGATAAAAGTCTATATTTACAAACTTGCACGGTTAACGCTTCAGATACAGATAATACTAGAAGCCAAATAGTAAAAATCTTAATTGATAGTGGATCACAGAGGTCATTTATTAGATCTGATTTGGCTAAAGAACTAAAATTAAGGACTTTAAGGAAAGAAAGGTTTATATTTATTCATTTGGGTATAGCCAAGGTAGACTAATAGAATATAATGTTGTTCAAATTACCCTGAAAAGTATGCATTGCCCTAATGACTCAATCACTATTGAAGTTCTTGTTACAGACACTACGCTATTATTTTATTCGACATGGGAAGCGATCATAAAAATTCCCTCCAAAAACATTTTAGAAATATTAAAATCAGAAAATCTAAAACTTAGCCGATAGTGGTTGAAGCAGCTGAAATAAAAATATTGTTAGGATCTGATTCATGTTGGGAAGTGCAAAACAGGCGAAAAGAAAAGAGTAAGTAATAAATTATTTGCGGTGTCTTTTTCTATATTTGGTTGGTCCTTAGTTGGATCTTTAGGAAGGTGATCAATCTAGTGCCTGTATTTTTACAACTGGTGCCTCTCATTGCTTGAAGGAAGATAATAATTCAGTTAATGACTGTTTGCGAAGGTTTTGGACTCTTGGACTATTTGGGTTTAGAGGAGAACGAGAATCCTGACGATAAATCAGTCATTGAGAAATTTGAAAAAAGAATTGCATTTTACTAATGGTAGATATGTAGCTCGTTTGTTATGGAAATCACTTCATGCAAAACTTGGGTAATAATTTAGGAAAATTCCAAGCGACGTCTAGTATCTTTGGTTAATAAACTAAAAAGTGATGAATGGCTTAGGGCGAATTATGATAGCATAATAAACGAACAGTTAAAAAATGAAATAATTGAAGAGTGCGAAATTGAAAGTTGTGATGGTAGTAAAATGTATTACATGCCACATGCTCCAGTTGTAAGAAAAAATGTATCAAAAACTAAAGTCCGTATCGTGTTTGACGCATCTTCGAAGTGTAATGGGGTATCTCTGAACAATTGTTTGATGCCTGGCCCAAATTTGAATCCATCTGTTTTGGACTTGATATTGCGGTTTAGACAATACAAACATGCGTTCTCAGCAGACATTGAAAAGGCCTTTCTCCAGATTCGAATCTCTGAAATTGATAGAGATGTATTACGGTTTTTATACTTTGATAATAATTACAATTTGAAACATTACTCGCGTTCCTTTCGGTGTATCATGTAGCCCTTTCATTCTGGCGTGCACTAAAAAAAGCATATAAAGAAAATAGAGTTAGAAAATCCAGATATTTTTTAGATGTTGAACTGTTCGATCTACGTAGATGATGTTTTCTATAGTGCAGATTCTGTGGAACAGGCTTTTAAGTACTGGAGCCTACTGCGTGCTTAAAGATGCCGGAATGAATTTGCGTCAGTTTAATACAAATTCCGAGAAACTAAAGAAACTTTGGGATGATTGTGGAAATAATTAAATCAGAAAATGAACTAAATAGTTCTTTAAAAGTATTAGGGCTTAACTGGTGTACGAGTAAAGATGTAATTTCCTTGAACATAGACAACTTGTGCGAAACATTAAATAGTTGTAGAAAAACCACAAAAAGAAATATATTAAAGGTGACTGCTACCTATTTTCGATCCAGTAGGTTTCTTGGCGTGCCATTTGTATTACGTGCAAAATTGATAATGCAAAACCTTTGGCAGTTGGGTTTAGAATTTGACGATGAAGTTCCAACTGAATGTAAGCAGCTGTGGTCCGAGGTGGAGCGGTGAAATTAAAAAATTAAAGAAATTTGAAATTTCTCAAAAATATTTTCCTCCAAATTGAATCAAAATAAAGACATCGAACTGCATTTATTTTGTGATGCATCTATTAAAGCGTACGGTTTAGTTTCATATTTTAGATCAGGTTGAAGAAGGACAGGTAGCATTCATTATGGCAAAATCTAGAATTGCGCCAATAAAACAAAAACTCACACTTCCAAGGTTAGAGTTGCTAGGAGCATTAACATCAGGCAAGACTTGCTAAAAATTTAAAAGAGCTGTTTTCAATTCATGAAGAAAAATATTTATCTGTGGACTGACAGTATGATAGTGGTTCACTGGATTCCATAGTGCTCCTGAACGATTGGAAAATGTTTGTAAAAATCGAGTATCTGGAAATACAATCATTAACTTGCCCAAATAACTGGAGACATTGTAATGGAAAGTCCAATCCAGCGGACATTTTATCTCGAGGATGTTCAGCCGAATATTTGTTGTCTTCAAGATTATGTCAGTCTGGGCCAGACTGGTTAGTTGAATCAGTGAGTGCTTGTAAATTGTGCTTGTAAATAAACTAGTAAATTTATCGTGACAACGGAGTTTTCTGATGCTGAATTAGAGCGCAAAAAGTGTATAAATGATACGGCAATACTACCGTCTATTGCAGAAAAATCTAATTCTCTGTTGAATCTTGAAAATTATAGTAAATTAATTAGAGCTATTAAATGCATGGATATTTAGGTTTATTCACAATCTGAAAAATAAAACTGACAAGAAAACCGGACCCTTGATAGCGGGAAGAACTTTTTGCCGCAGAATTATATTTGATAAAAGAAGTTCAATATGAACATTTTTCTGATGAAATTAATAGTTTAAAGTCGGGACAGTTGATTTCAAAAAGCTCAAACATTTATGAACTAAATCCTTTTTTAAGTGAGGAAAGAGTTTTGTTAGTAGGAGGAAGACTACAAAAATCAACTTTAAGTTTTCATGAAAAGCATCCTATAATTATTCCTTCAAAAACTCATTTTACAGATCTTCTGGTACGTGATGCACATGAACGAGTTCTTCATACAGGTGTAGCTAGTACTCTCATGTTCCCTCCGTGAAAAGGACTTGGATAATTAGATCCAGACAAAATGTGAAACGTGTTATAAGAAACTGTGTACTGTGTCAGCGTTATAACTCCGTGACCGATGCGACAAGTCATAGCACCATTACCTCCATCTAGAATTGAAAAGAGCATTAACCCTTTGATGTTATAGGACTAGATTATCAGGTCCACTGAAAATGTGAAATTAATGCTAGATTACGAAGTATTGTATATTCCTAATATTTACCTGCGCAGTAACTAGAGGCATTCATCTTGAACTAACAAAAGATCTCACAACTAAATCTTTCCTACTTGCTTTTCGTCGATTCATATCAAAGGGTTGTGCTCTCTAATATACTCAGATAACGCGCGTACATTCAATGCAGCTGATGCACAGCTCAAAAAGATGTGGCAGGTATTAAGCCATCCCGATGTAAAGAATTATTATGAAGCAAAGGGCATTCAATGGAGGTATATCATTGAAAGAGGAGCCTGGTGGGGCGGATTTTACGAGAGACTTGTGCGATCCGTTAAAACAATATTAAGAAAAATTCTTGGTAGAACATCACTGCTACCTGAAGAATTGGAAACTGTACTGACTGAAAGTGAAGCGGTGATAAATCGTCGACCCTTGACTTACGTCCAAGATAATGAGCCCCAAGTTCTGTTACCTGCTCATTTTCTGCTAGGGCAAACTTGCTAATTTGCCTCCTGTCAAATACACTCATGAAGTGTGCAGTACTAAAGAAATTCTTTTAAAAGCGTATCTATATCGTGAAAAATTGTTAAATAACTTTTGGAAAATCTTTTATAAAGATTATTTGTTGAATCTGAAATCTGAAAATTGTGTGAACAATCACCGTGCAAAATACGACTTAAGTGTGAACGATATCGTGATTTTACAGGATGAACATTTAGAGCCTGAGCCTGAAGCCTATGATTAGGTATTCAACCCCCAGTGGATTTTTACCTATACATTTCAAGTTTCTTGTAATCACTTTCGAAGAAGACTGCTAGGTTTGAGTCGTGAAAATACAGATGTAATGACATCTGTAGCAAGGATAAGGCAATTATATATGGCAATCTTTCTTTTGGCAGTTGCAAGTTGAAGTACTGCGGGTGACATCTGTATACATGAGTAAAAATATAAAAAATGCAGTAAACATGAAAAATAAAATACTAAAAATCTTGATTAAAATAAGTGGAAGTGAGAAATAATATCTACAAATCTTGATTTCGTTTTTGAAAAGTGAGTACGGCCAAGGCCCGAACTCGCAATCTCCGTGGAAGTGGTGCTGAAGACAGGACTTAGCCCGCTCTGCTGCTCTTCTCTATGCACAAGTAGTCGAAAAATTAAATGAAGAGTTCTAAAGCTTTTAAGGCGAATTCAGTCTTGCTATTTTCGTCGTTGATATTTTTATACTGATTGTAGAGATCTTTTAGCTTGAAAATTAAATTTTTAAAATCTTCGAAAGTTTCAGTAGAATTATTTTTCGTTGCTGTTGCTTGTTTTTCAGGTAAATTTCTAAGTGCTGCGGAATAATTTCTTTTTGTAGGCTGGAATTTGTTTTCGTTATTAGGAGTTTTATTAGGGAGATAAGGGAAATCATCTTCTAACGTTATGGTTTTTTCTGTTCTTAGAGGTTTTTTGAAGAGCTTCTGATGGTTATATTTGTTACCAGGTCTCTTTGGGCATTCGAAGCTGCTAGCGGGATGCGATCAGAGGCACAAAACACATTGTCCTGTTACTTCTTTTTTGTTCTTGATAGGACATTCAAATGAGTGGTGGGTTTCTAAGCATCTTACGCATCTAGGAATGTTGTGGCAAGCAGCCTGTGTATGCCCGTAACGCTAGCATTTGAAACACTGCGTTGGACCTGGCTGGCTTTTGTATGACTGAACTCGTATTTTCATGTCAGATATATGGGAGATATTGTATATTTTCTTTCCTTCTGGATTTCTCTGGGTTTCTATGTAGTAGTAGGCAGTAGTGTAGGAATTCCGTTTCTCATTCTTCATGAGTTGAGTGCATTTAATGACAGGGATTCCGTAGCTTTCTATTTCCTCTTTCAACTCCGATGGAGGTGTGTCAATGGTAAGGCCTTTAATAACTGTTTTTAAATTGATTTCTTTCTTTAGAAGGAAGGTGTGGAAGGGTATTTTCTCTTTTTCAAATTTTTTCGTGACATTTCTGTGGTCGTCTTCGTTGTATAAGTTAATTTCAAGCATATCATCTTCGATTTTACTTTCAATTTTAGTGACCTTTAAATTCTCTTTAATTTCCTTTCGGAGTTGTCTCCAATTGATGTCAGTTTGTGTTAGATAAATTGGTGGGATTTTAGTAGCTTTAATTTTGTAATTTTCTTTAGTAGGTTGAGTTTGGGAATCTGTCATATTTTCATCGTCGAGGTTTTGTTCTTCATTCAGGGCGCTGTAATGAACATTTACCACGTAACATGTGAAGATTAGGAAAGGTTCTCAAAATATTTACCGGTAGAGATGGACTAATTCGCAGTTGTGAAATAAAGACTGAAAGAGGCATTATAAAGAGACCTTTACAATTATTAGTTAAGTTAGAATGCTAAGAGTATTAATATTGTATGATAGTATATTTCTTACTGAAAATGTAATCGTAATGCTACTAATGTTGTATCTATTTTATTTAATTGCTATTTAAAGTACTGTATATTTAATATTTAAGAAATGTATATATTAGAAAATTTTAAGGTTGTAGAAATGTATAAGTGTATTTAAAATTTTAATTTAATTCTGAAAAAAAAAAAAAAAAAAAAGGGTTTCTTGTAATAATTCTAGTATTTTAGTTGAATTATGATAATCTTGATTTTGAAACATTTGTTTAATATTATCTTGAGTTATATAAATTCTTTATTTAATCCTGATGCTTGAACAGGAATGTTATAACAATAATTCTTGATGAAATTTACTTGAAAATTACTGATATTCTTGAAACATATGGTCAGTTTTACATGTTCTTGATATTTATGTGACATTTCTTTATTACAAAACTTGAATTTGTATTGAAATGCATAATGATTCTTGAAAATATTCTTGAAATGTTCATGTAACCATGATAATCTTGATTGTTCTGAACTACATTCAGCCGGGCCCAGTGTGTAAGAAATTTATGGGAAATATATTTTAATCGCCAGAGGGCGTAAATCTTTCATGATGTATACTTCTTGTTCTTGGATCTGGCACCGCCAGTTGAATGTGTGTTAGACGTGAATAAACATGGGAGTTTAGAAACCTGATTTGTAGTGTTCATGTATCTTGATGTTATGTGTGATTCGAATTTTAGTGTTTTTTTAACTAAGATATCTTGCAATTCTTGACAGTTAATATAATATTTTATACCCTCACTTGGCGTGGCTATGTGCCTTCCCCCTGGCTTCACTTTCTTCCTACTGCAATAGCAGAGACGGAATCTCCATGTATTCTAACCTCCTTGAATTAAAAAGAGTTATTTGATACAAACGCCATAGACAAACGACATGTCGGTGACGCGCGTCCTGCCCACTGGATTAGTCTATCTCTTATAAGGTCCATGCAAAGAAGGTGGCACATATGCATAACTGCTTCTAAGACCCGCCTACGGAGAGCAGGCTCCCACCCTTTTTGGATTCAATTTGAAGCCATATCTTTGTATTCTAACCTCCTTGTTGACCTCAAGGTTGTTGGCCCGACCCTTGTTGACTACGCAACACATGTACATTAGTAGGCAGGGCATAAAAATAAAAAGAGCTAGACTTTTAGTGTAGCTAGAGTTTGATGCTGTAGCTTCTTTGAATATACAAATGTAAACTTTGGAGAAACTGAAGCTAAGTTCGTAAAAAAATATTTTCTTGTTGTAATTGAACATTATTACGTAATATTTCAGTTCTCACAATGTTAACTCTTTAGGTAATAAGTTAAGCAGTAGACATGCAATGGTTGTCCGATGAATATGAAGAGAAGATATTTATCTTCAAGTTAAAAAAGATGTAAAACACAGTCTTCGTCTTACACAGAAGCCCTACTTCCGTTATCTTATAATGATAAGAACCGATGTGGGAAGTCAGGTTTTATTAGATAAGCTTGTTTAGTTCAATCCTATGCTATATGAATAATTATTAAATTCAAGGCGTAGATACTATGAATAGGTTGTGACGTCGTGTTAATCAATTATTGATCTCACTATGTGGCGACAGAATTGCACATTTGTTTTAACCAAGACCAACTTATACTCAAGGCCTGATAGTGTGAAAATATTGTTTTGTGTTTTCAGTGGCCTCTGTAAAATTTTTGCTGACCGCAAGAGGACGCTACTATTCCGCTACGTTTTGCGATATTAACAATGAGCAAAATGTTATCCGAGACAAATAATTGTCTTGTTATATGCGAAATTTGAAAACGATTAATATGTCTGTTAGAGTCAGAAATTATACATTTTTATTTAATAAAAATATTTTTATTTAGAAAGAAAGCATGAAATTTCAAGCTAACCCATTTTCTTTTTCCATTATATAACCGTCACCTACTTGATTCTGATTTTAATTCCTGCTTGCATCTAGAATATACGCTATTTTTAATTGTACTTATTAGAGTTACTTATTCTAATTTAAGGGTAATTTAGAGCACTTGTTTTACTTTTAAATAATTTATATAGTACGAAGTTAGCAGGTAGCTTCAGAACATAAACTATTTCAGCGCAAAATTTCATCGTATTAATATCAGTCGTCCTCTGCAGCAAAATAATTTGGAGCCACTATGAACTATGTAATTAAGAAATTCATAAATGATGATCTAAAATTTGTTAATACATAAAAGAAAAAGTATTTCTAAAAGAGATTTGGTTTTAGGTACTGAAGATTTTTTCATTAATACAAAATACTTTTTTAGGAAATATTAAAAAATAAAATTTTAAATGCTGCAGATTTAGAGCTCTGAAGAGTAAACGCAACACTACAGATATTCAAAAAAATAATAAGTATTTCAATATCACTAACAGCATATAACAATGACATACATATAAAATTTTAAGCCTCTTAGACTGACTGACTGACTGATAGCTTATAGCCAGAATACCACTGAGATCAGTAGTTTATCTGGCTCAATCAAATTTATGCCGGATGGGCACAATAACATAGAACTATCTTCACATAATGTCCGCAGTAAGGAGGAGAAAGACGGATAAAGAATAAGAAGTCCAGCAACGCAAGAGCTCACTAGCAAGTAACCGGCCCGGTAAAGGCGTGTGACTAAGTGGGGGAGT